TTACAGAATACAATCTCATCAGATGGGTTCATAGACGTACAACTTCAACTAGGATTATATATGTTCGGGAAATTCCTTTCTCAATAAATAAATGCTTGACCATGAAAAGTAACAATGAGAAAATATTCAAAAAGGGATATGGTAATGTCATCTTCAGTCAATAATATCTCAGGAGAACAGCACTTGAGTCAAGATGAATAATACAAGAAGACAATGAAGAGGAACTCCAATACAAGCTAGTCCATCACAGGCATGGTTTATAGAGTCAATGGCTAAAAATACACCATTCATGGTTTGACGATTTTTCCTGTTCTGTTTTTTTTTTTTTAATTCCATCGCTTGGTATTCTATGAAACCTGCGGTGTCACCACCTCTCACCCAGGCTAATTTAAACCCCAGCTGTGTGGGACCGTCGTTACCAATGGTGGCTTCAAGGGTACCTTGAGAATGTTTTTGGCATATTTATTTAACGTGACACATATCCCACAAAACTCCAAGATAAGTTAATTCAACTCTCTCAACTAGTTGAACCAAACACCCTTTGGTTTTTCCGTTCTGGTTTTGGAAAAACAGCTAAAGGGTGTTTGTTACTGTAATTAAACGAAAATAAAATTAAGGGCTTTTTTAAACAATCAGAATGGAATCATAAGGAATCAAAGGTTAATTTTCACCGTTTAAAGGTCCATATATCTTAACTCCAGTGATCAATAAGAGATATGAAACGGTAATCAAAGTTAGGAAAAGAATTTTGAAGTTAGTGAATATAGCATCATAAAAGAGAAGCATGCATATGAAGTAATTAAACAGTCAAATATTAACCAGAGTAAAGAAAAAAGGGGGGGATGCATAAAAAAAAAAGGATTACCGCACCTCCGCAACATAAGATTGGCAAAACCATAATGATATATGGTGGTAATGTGGCTTCCAATAACACTGGTGTAAACGCCTTGTTGACTAATATCAATAGGAAGCAAGCACTTGAGACCAGTATGATAATCACCTAAAAGACAATGAACTCGCAGCAATCCTACCATGCTTAAATATCCCAAAACCTTTAAGACATTACTCCCTCCGCTGTAATCATACCCATCAGTAGCAGTAAATTGTTCCAGGCCTTCTTTTTCTTGCTCAAGAATCTGAATAATCATGGACTTCTCGACAAGAGCTTGCAAGAAGTTGAGGACGCCATACACATTCCAAGCCTGTGACATGGTAATATGTTGCTCTTAATGGATAATATGAACGACAGATTCTACCACGACGAGACATGAAGACATGCAGGTTATGGCCTAATGATCAGGCAACCAGCACGGGCGAACAATAGCTCAGATAACTTGAATTGCTTTGAGATAAGATTGTTGCATTAAAGGAACTTCCTATCTCTTGCCTAGTTGATATGTCCCCCTCTATAACGTAAATTCTAAGCTGAGGAACAAATAAATTTTAATTTTAACCCGCAGCCCCGTCTCGACAGAAGAGTAATAAAATAATGCAATGCCCATAAATTCACTTTGGCCATCAGCAGAATTACCTGATCATACTGCCTCAAAATTGCAATTTCCTGCTCGGTTTTGTTCTTCATCTTGGCTCTATATTGACAGAAGCTCTGAAATTGGTAAACGAACTCATCCACCATATCCCACAACCACTGGTTGGGCAGCTGCATGTTGACAACTCCATGCAACACAACCTGAAAGAGACTACAATAATTGTCCCAGGAATCTATCCTCTGCTTAAGCGTTGGCGTGAGCCTAGCATAGAGGTGACGAAACCACATCTCGCGATACAGGAGACAAAACACATGATCATTGTCAACGTAGTTAGCGACAGCGTCCACAGAAGGCCACGGAGTGTCCTTGAAGAGACGCTCCGAGAGAGTTTGAAACGAGTTCTCGTACATCTGGTGGATCTCGTACACATTTTTCTCTCGGATGTGGTGCGGTAGAGGTGGACTACAAATGACTTCACAGAATCGGGTACGAAATTCGGATCATAGCCCAGGTCTTGAGATTGCGATGGTGGCTGGCGGTGGTCATCGTATCCGGGACGCACATCATTGTACTCGTTGGAAGCCATGGCTGTAATGCAAGGACCGAACTTCGAAGAGGCTAGCTCACGGTCACCGGGAAAAAGGACGCAGATGCAGAACGAGCTTCTTTAGGTTTAGGTTTTCTTTTTTTTTTTTCAATTAAAAACATTTGTTGTTTGTTTGTTCGTTCCTTGTAATCGGATGACGGATAGTCATGAACAAAACCCGCTGGGCTCTAGTTGGGCCCCAATTGGATATTCCGTGTTCATGTTTTGGGTTGGTTCAAGGTAGTGACTATTGCTGGAAAGAAGGACGCTCACATATGCAAAATATCTCAGTCCAAGAAAAAAAAAAAGGATTAATGCAGTTTATTAATAAAGAATATTTTAATTTTAATTTTTTGGCCAATGTTTGAAGTTTAATAGATTGATGCATGTGTCTGTTATCAAGGTCTTGAGGTAACATTTTTATGTTATACGTATAGTTTTAAAATCGGACCAGTTTAGTCATTTCAACTAGTTGAATTGGAAATTAATCGCTAATTCAATTTGAATGACTCCAAAAAAAATAACCTTTTTTGAATTGATCAAAAATGGAGAAAAGCCAAACCTGTTCAAATAATAGAACCAATCGAAAAAATATAATACAAACAAAATTCAAGTTCAAGACGAAAAAATAAAATTCGTTTTCAATACACAACCGGATCCAAAGTTGTAAATTTTGCTGACATACAGCGCAGCTCACATGCTTTCCGTCAGTACCCCCTTCAATTCCTTCTTACATTTTTCAACGTGGGATTTAGGTAGGAGCAGCAAACGAGTGTGCACAGCATAAATAAAGGCTGTTTTTTTTCTCTTTATTCTCATTAATATCTATTAATCAATTTTAATCCTTAAATTATTTTTATAATAAACAGAAATCTTTAACTTTTAAACTTCTAAGTATTTATTTATATTTTTTACATGAGTTTATGTTTAAAATTTAGTTTTAATAAGTCTCTTAAAATATTTTATAATTTATCATTTTTTATGTAATTGACATTTATTAATGAACATTGAATAAGGTTGCCCTCTTAACTTTCAATTCATATACCTTACAGTAATTTTTTAATTACTATCAGCAGGTAGTAATTCTTTTTAAATATTTATTATCAACATTATACACTAATAAAATGGTATTCATTAAGAAAAGAGTAAACATTCATAAAATCTCATTTTATAAATTTAATCTTATAAAATAATACTCTTAAGATATTGCTTATAACATAATATAATATAATATAAATTTAATATGTAAAATTTTGATATAATAATTTAATCATAAATGATTTGACTACGAGTCGAACTCGATTAGATTACTAAACTGTGAATCACTACTTTAATTAGTTAAATGACCCGTCCGATATATTTTATTTTAATCAATTTTAATTTATTATTTTTTACAGTGCTCTTAATTACTAGAACCACCTTGCAAATTGCAATTATACCAGCTTTTATAGGACTGGGGAAATGACATTTTGAGGGTAAATAGTGAGAATATCGACATCTTAAAAATCCAGAATTTTAAAATATCAATCAAAGATTTTAGAACCGACATTTAAAAAAAAACAACAATAGATAAAAAAGTCTATAATATTTATTTAAAAAATTGCCTATATTTGTTTTGAAGAGGAATGTTAAAAATATCAAAAAGCCAACATAAAAATATAAAAAAAAGTCTTCGTTTGAATCATTTTCACCTCGGATTTTTTTTTTTCATATTTCAACTGGTGTACAGTATTTAAAAAAACTTAGCTCCTGTATTTTTAAAATTGAACAATAAACATGGAAAATAATGTTTAATTAAAAATGATATTATCCGAGACGTGGAGTAATTTCAACTGATTTGTTTTTCTTTTTTATCCTCAAAATAATATATTATTAAAACATAATATATTTAATTTAATTAATTTTTAGCTTATTGGATCTTTTATTGTATCTTAAAAAATTGTATTGTGTGTGTTTTCTCTTTGATTTATATCTCTAAATATTTCTTCATCAAATTTTGGATTTAATTTTCTTGAATCATCATATTCATTTCTTGTATACCGATTTTCTTTATCAGAATATTTGATTTAATTTGCCTGGATCACCATCTTCATCGCAAATCTTTCCTCTTTCTCTCTTTGTTTTTTCCAAATATAACGAAGAGGACATTAGACATTGAAAAAGAAACTCCATTATTAATCTGTGATACTATATCATTAATGTACATTTATATATTAATAATAAAAGAATTGGTAAGTTTTCACTTATATGGTTTATATATTAGTGATATATAATAGTATATCACTAATATATTATTGTAAATCAACATAACCTGACAATCAAACATAAATTTATTTATGATTGATATACAATCATATATTAATGATGTAATATCGCAAATTAATAATACAAAAAATACATGATCAATTTTTCAAAACAGATCAAACAAAATCTCAAAAAACTCTCGATTGAACTCTGACTTTTGTAACAGAGTTTGACCAGATTTTCTCACCTTAAATCTACAATTTTAGTGTAGCTTTATGTAAAAGTTGCAATTTTAGACTTCCTTACCTCATATTCGTGATTTTTCAACCTGAATCTGTAGTTTTTAGTTTGCCTCGCCTTACATTCTTGTGACTTCCTGGCTAAATGTCTAACTTTGTTTATCTATTGATATGAGATGTTTCATTATTTACTGTTAATTTCTTCACAATCACGATTAAGAGTGCAATATTATCTTCACGTTTTTTGGTGGGTGAAAGCGAAACTAGTGTGAGAGAATTAAAGTTATGTGATGCTTAAAGGTAATTTTAATTTTTTTATATTAAAATAAATTAAAAAATAACTATTATCTTAATTTTAAAAAAATAAGTTATTAGGTTTATTTAGTCATACAATATTTACTAAATCTGCTAAAGTTCCCTTCTTTCTTTTGAGTCCAAAAACGTCATTTCTCCCCTCCCAGCTTTCCCATGGAATGTTTTGTCATGAGGTACTGTCTGGCTTGCTGATTAATTACTTTATTACTTCATCCCTTCGACAAGGCCGATGAGTTGCCGGAGTCAACCAACAATCTAGATGCTATTTGATCGCTTTTCAGAGCTAGAGCTGCTCTGCTCAAGGCCATGGATCCTGTCTCGTTCCTTCAAGAACCCGTACCGCAAATCCCACGCTTATCCCCGAAACGACCCCATCTTTATCTAGCTTCACATTCAGGTTCACGAAATCTCCCTTTCCTGGGATTGACGCAACGCTTTCTTCAAGATGGCTCCATCAAGAAAACTAGGGTTGCGAGAAATTCCCATCATCCCGGAGGTTTAGTTGTACGTTTCCCACTTTTCCATTTGCAATGAACCACTTGCTCTTGCTTAATGATGTATGAAATCATACGAAATGGGATCCCAAGCCCTTTATCTGGCCCCACCTGTCTAACACCCCCCCCTCAACAAAGACCAAAAAAAAAAAAATCCAGTTTAAGTGCTTTGGGATCTCAATCGTTAATGATCTTGATTACTGAACTAATGGAATGTATTTACGTTGCAGATTCTAAAAGTGGAATTTCTGATGTCCCTCTCTTGACCGGCTTGGAGGTCCAACCTTTTTTTTATTTTGCCCTCTTTTTAATTTTAAAGAAGTTTGAAGTGGTTAATTTACCAAGGAAGTTTTGTAACAGAGGATCCTTTAGCTAGAAATGGTTTAATACATACCTATAGCTATTGCTAATGAGTATCATAATTCAAGTGCCTCACTAATCACGAGGACATAGAAATTGACTTGTGCTTGTCCTTGAAGAATTAATAGATTACTAGTAATGGATTCTTTCGTTTCTTCCTTGTTAAAAGGCCTTTGAGAAGCTAAAAGCATACAGAGAGAAGACAAAGGGCAAGCAGCAATTCCTTGCCATGTATTCTAGCATTTTTGGTGGGATAACAACAAATGTTGCTGCTATGGTTATTCCTATGGACGACCACATGGTTCACAGGGGCCATGGTGTCTTTGATACCGCAGCAATAATGGATGGGTTAGTGATTAACTTCCACCTCATAGTGAGACCTCTCTTTTATTGTGCTGTGCGTATATGAAATTTTAATTTTTAAAGAACTCTAGACAATCTGGACACTAGATATAGCACAGCACAACTAAGGACACTAGCATGATAAATTAAATGGAGTTTCATGTCTACATATTATTTAGTATCACGTCTTTCGATATACTCTAGATGCCAATAATTAGTTCTGAAAATGCGAAAGTTGAACATTATTTGCACAGAAGAAAGATTACGCTCCTCCTCTGTCCTCTCCTCCCCAAACCCAAAGCAAAAAAGAAAAAGAAAAAACTACTCCCAAACAAGGTTATAAACTAATAAAGTACACTTGTTCATTTTAATAAAGTCTTGTATTTATATGTATACAATTATTTTGTACTTTCCAAGACTGAGATTGATGTGTTTTCTGCATTCCAGATGCCTGTATGAGCTGGATCAACACCTTGACCGTTTTTTAAGGTCAGCTATTAGGTCCAAAATAAACCCCCCGTTTGATCGAGAAAGCATACGAAGGATACTCATACAAACTGCAAGTGCTTCCAAATGTAGAAATGGATCATTGAGATATTGGCTCTCAGCGGGACCTGGTGATTTTCAGCTATCTCCCTCTGGCTGCCACCAATCCGGTCTTTATGCAATTGTAATTCAGAATCTGTCCCCATTCAGCTCCAAGGGAGTTAAAGTCGTGACTTCTTCTGTCCCAATTAAACCTCCTCAGTTTGCAACCACTAAGAGCGTGAATTACCTTCCAAATGTGCTTTCAAAAATGGAAGCTGAAGAAGCTGGTGCTTTTGCTGGCATCTGGCTGGATGATGATGGCTTTGTTGCTGAAGGGCCTAACATGAATGTGGCTTTCGTCAATAAAGAGAAGGAGCTTCTCATGCCTCATTTTGACAAGATTCTAAGTGGTTGTACAGCCAAAAGAGTCTTAACTCTTGCGAGAGTTTGGTGAAAGAGGGTAGGATTCGGGATATAAGGATGAAAAATGTGACAGTGGAGGAAGGGAAAAAGGCAGATGAAATGATGCTTCTTGGCAGTGGAGTCCTTGTTTGCCCTGTGGTGCAGTGGGATGATCAGGTCATTGGAGGCGGTCAGTGCTTATGGCCTTATACTACTTGCTTTCTGGAAAGATGAATGCTATTTATTTAATAAATAAACTAATGTAAATGAAAAGCATTTCCATTGATTACTGATCTATATGGCTTCTATAAGACTTTAGCAAATTGCCTTCTGGTCAATTACCAATGTTCTTTATGAAGCTTGTTTCCGTCCTTGACAATATTAAATGTGTTTCTATCTGAGTTATTAATTCCCTTAAGGCACATGCTCCTTTTTGTAATCAAGTGTGCTTAGGCTATATTCGGGTCATAGTCATTGTTTTATGATGTTATCAGGGTTCTGAAACTTCGTACTTCCTGTTGTTATTCCAAGATGGCTTAGACAGTTAAACTTTTGTCAAGACTTCCGTTGCTTCATGTTTGATTGAGATTTCTGGAATACCATTCTTTAATCACTATTCCTTAGTAAAATTAATGTTTCTCGTCTGTCTGTGAGCTGATTCTGTTTTCCTTTCTGGCAGGTAAGGAAGGCCCCATAGCCCAGACTCTCTTGAATTTAGTTGTAGAGGACATGAAATCTGGCCCTCCCACTGTTCGTTTACCTGTTTCTTATTGATCTGACTTCATTTCCTTCTCCTGACTCATCACGATGGAGCTTCTAAACGCAGAAAATAGTAATTATAAATTATCGTGGAGTTGTCAACCTGTCATCGCTTACCTGTGAACAATGTTTGTGTTGTAAAGCCCTTTTATTTTTTAATGATATCCCAGCATGTTCAAAACTTGTTTATCTTGTTAGTGTCAGACGCAGACGAGAGGAAGTAAATAACTTTTCTATCCTTATATTACGGCCAATCCAGTCCAACTTGCTGCTACTTTTATCAGTTTCATTTCTTTCTTTCTTTTTGGGGCGAAATTGGAAAACACAGGCGACGGTGAAGGAGTTCATCAGAAAGGAACTGTATGACCAACAAAAAAGGAACAGGAAAAAGTATGTAGTAGGGACTCATGATAATGAAAAGGGTGAGAAAAAGGAAAGAAAGAAAGAAAAGTGAAGGATCTTCACTGAATTATTTGCTGCACCAATTTGCAGATCAGTGAAGGAAAAGTCTCAATACGCTTATTAAAAAAAAACAAGAAGAAGAAGCGTCTCAATATTCTCAACTGATAATGGCCTAATCTGCCAGACCGATGATGAACTAAGTGACATGCATGCGTGGGCAGCAAAATGATGAAAGCAATAGCGGCATGATTGAACTTCCAAATTCCAGTATAAATCGTTAGTGAGGGCAGTTATGCTTGACATGAGCATTAATTTATTGGACGCTAATGGAGAATATAACCTTAACTTTTGCAGTATTGCTTGTATGGTTATTATCTATGCCACTTGCTTCGAAAAAGGTAATCTTATTTGTTTTTTTCTCACTTTTTTTCCCGTCCAAAAAGTTATTTCAATTGTTATTGTGGCCAGATGAATTATCATTTAAAGCATTATTATCATTTAAAGTCAGTAGAGTTTGCATTTTCCACAGAACAAGATTCTTTCTGTATTTACTCCGTATTTTCTTTGGTTGTTATTTTAATTTACGATGGTTGGTTATAAAATTACGTTAGCTTCAACTTTCATGATGCTAAATATATATTGTAGACTGCAGGACGGAGGCAACATTCGAAGTACCCTGCAAACATCCTTGATATTATTTTTACGTGTGATTTAAAAAAAAAAGAAATTAAGAAACACTAACACATTGTCATGGAAAAATAATGTATTTTCTTGTCCCATGTTATTAATGATGTATTTTGTTCATTATTTGTGAAAATAACTAACGAACAATCGTTTGATTTTTAAAGTTTTTATTTTACAATTTTCCCATCCTTTTATTAATATTCGATCTCAGTTTTTTCTTGTGATCTTCTTATTCTAAAAAGAACTCCGATCATCCAAACCTGCCCTAAAAGATTTTCACATAGCAAACAAGCAAACTAAGCAAAGTTCGTGGGGCAGAGCGTGCAGGAGAGAGAAGAGGAACAGAAGCCCGTTCCTCCTGTGATATTGCCCGAACTGTATTCGATCTTGTTGGTATTCTGTTAAAGATCACCAGATTGGAATCGTCCTCAGCGAGCCGAGATGGTGAATTCTATGGTAGAACGAGCTACGAGCGACATGCTCATTGGTCCTGACTGGGCAATGAATATCGAGATCTGTGACATGCTGAATGGCGACCCCGGGTATGCATAGCACCGGATTCTCTCTGCTTTCTTCTTCTTATATAACTGAAATATGTATTTTTATGTGTGACATTGTTTGTATTTTGATCGAATCAATATTGTAGTATGGTTTCTCAAAAAAAAATTGCGACTGAAACTTCTTTTATGTGATTTCGGGAATACCAATCGGCGATTGAGATAAGCCGTAGAGTTTAACTGTATCGACGGATGGGACTTCATCTTTCTTGCAAATTCTCCTTAGCTCTCTCTTATTTGTTCATAATAGTGAAGTTACCTGTATATTGCTTTAAAAGTAATGAAATATTGAAATCTCGGCTGAAGAATTTTGGACTTTGGACTAGATGTTGGACCTGGGTTTCGATGTGGCAATTAATCAACTGATCGTTATCAGGCCTTCCCTCTTCGCCCTCTTTGATCTGGCTTGTTAATTTTAAACACACGCCTTCGGATTTTATATTTGATCCATCTATCTTTTTGACTTGCCAAACTTTATGGTATTGATTAACCAGTGGTATTAGCTCGCTATTGGCTATTCTGGAGTCAGGAATTGGCGCTTAATCAGACGATTAGACATGTGCTGGGTGATATCTAATTTGCTACTTTTCGCCATAAGTTGCTACTTGCTAGTTCCATTTTGTGGGACGAACGGTTATACATGCTTATGCATAAAAAATATTTTTAAACGCATCTGAGAATTTATGATTCCCCACATATTTTGCAAAACTGGGACTGGGTAGAATAACTTGAAAAATATACGTTTCTTACGTATGCGAAGTAGTAGTTTCTTATCCTGTTAATTCCAACAGAGAATGCAAGGCCACAGTTTGTCTACCTGTAGCAAGAAAAACAAAAGCAGGAATTAACATTTTAACGTTACTATATACAGAAGAATTGAGCATATGGATTTTGAATCCTTGCCAAACTTGGACCTCATGTTGACCCTAAAAAGAAAGGAGTGAAGAGGGCCTGAAGGAGGCATATCTGAACATGTACCTTTGTGATGTTTTGCAGTTTTGCAGTTGATATCTGTTGTTCTCTAAGCATGTATTGGCATCTCAACTTTAGTTTTTTCCCCCTCTTGGAGGGGGGCATAATTGCAATTGTATGCATGAGTTCAAGTTTTGCTCCCCCTTTAAGCTCTCAGAGTTTGCAAACTCAGTCTGGTGATGATTTAACAGGCAAGCCAAGGATGTTGTTAAAGGTATAAAGAAGCGGATTGGAAGCAAGAATTCAAAAGTTCAACTTCTTGCACTAACTGTAAGCATGAAAGCATTGATTTTACCTTTTCAGTTTGGATGTTAACATTGGTTGATTTGATTTATCAATTTGCAAGAGTTTGATGTCCTCCTGAGAAATTTTGTCATAATTGACCAATATTTGTAAGATTTATCAATTTTTTAATCTTCATGCATGAAATTGGAAATTTTATTAGCTTTATTAGATAGATGGAATGAGACTGACTAGTGCTTTGATTAGGTGGATTCTTTTTTAAATAACCAGTTGGAGTTATCGTGATATAGTCTCTCAGGGATGGCGAAATGGAATATCACATAGGTGATATTGTTTGATGTCTAGCTGTCTACTGAGTTATTACCTCTATTAGTATGCCTGTTGAACTTTTGAAAATGACTACTTTATGGGATGAAGGATGTTCTGGCAATCATTTATCATATCTTTCTCATGCAGTTACTTCTTGATAACAAAAGAATTTACCTTTGAATATGGCTGCGATGGGTTCTCTTTCTACTAAACTGGAACATATTCTCAGAGTGGATGTCTTCCTTTGTGTTTGACTATCCATAGACTGATGGACAATTTCTCGGTGTGGCCATTTCTCAATAGCCCCATGCATAGTTGCTTTCACGTGTTATTGATAGAGACCAAAGTAGCATGAGATGCCTATATCCTACATCGAGTAATGTCAACTGCTTAGTCTCCCCACCTCAATAGCTACCTTTCAAGGGAGGATTTCTCTTCCAGCTTGGGTGCCTATCAGTCGCTGTCTAGATTTTTAATTAGGAAGTCTTTGCACAATACTTATAAAGAGCGGGTTCACTATCAGTGTGTTGTTTAAACTTCAATGATGATTGTTTAATTATGCATTATTCTTGTGATTGTTTTATTTTGCCTTCATTGTCAGAGCACCTCTGAACCCTTCTAGGTAATAGTGTCTGTTTAGACGGGAAGCAGTATCGCTTGCCTGTATTTATTTACCATTCCTTTATCATCTTTTTTGACTAGAAAAGCTCATTTTGTTTTATAATGGTCTACTCTAGCTACTGGAGACAATCATAAAGAATTGTGGGGACATTGTTCACATGCATGTCGCGGAGAGAGATGTGCTTCATGAGATGGTGAAAATAGCAAAGAAGAAGGTATAATTATTTCTGAAATTTTTCACTACTATCCAATGGTATGCCAACTTCCATGTTGTGAATGTTGACTTAATTTATTGTGCCAATTGTAGCCTGATTTTCATGTCAGAGAGAAGATTCTGATTCTTATAGATACTTGGCAAGAAGCTTTTGGAGGACCAAGGGCTAGATACCCGCAATATTATGCTGCATACCAGGACCTGCTGGTATGTTTACCAAAAAGTTATTTATATGAGATTGTTTGGCAATGTTATCTTTTAACAAGCCATTTTGTGTGTGGAGGAAACCAATTTATAAGAACATTTAGCATATTTCCCTCTGAAAGATGAAAATTAAAGTTTTTGTTTATTTCAGCGTGCTGGGGCAGTATTCCCTAAAAGGTCTGAACAATCTGCACCTGTGTTCACACCTCCACAAACACAACCATTGTCATCATATCCTCAAAATTTACGCAACTCTGAGGCCCATCAGGATGCAGCTGAGTCCTCTGCAGAGCCTGAGTTTCCAACTCTAAGGTACATTTTTATCTCCTTTTATTCATCTATTTCCCCTTTGTGGGCAATTGGCTTTATTGTTTATGTTGTTGATTGTGGCCATTTCTTAATCTATAACTCATGCAACCTCTAACATTCTTTATGGACTGTGACTTGTCAGAGATTTTGTTGCTATATATACTTATCCAATTATCATTATCATATTGACCAAAATGACAGTATCACCATCATATTATCTGCGACAGTTTTTCATTGCAGCTCTGATGACATGTTCTAAGTTATTGGCCTAGTCTTGCATATTTGTTTTGTATTTCTTCATTTAAGATGGTTGTGCTTCATATATTTCAGAGTTATAGTTGGGCTATGTTTGGGGATGAAATCAAATATTTAATAAAAGGAAATAAGAAACTATCTTAATTTAAGTTTGGATAAAGTTTTCACTTTTCTTCCCTTTTGCTTATTCTTTTCTTGATCTATCCTGCATAGCATAAAAGTGATCAGTATGATTTGGAGGCTCTCTGTTCTTTCTTGCTTATATGCTATGAAAATGAATTGAAGTTTTGATACACCCATTTTTTATTCGTAATACATTCTCTTAAATATAAGAAATAGGACTTGATGACCTGCCTTGGATTGAGATTAGCACATTGTACATTTTATATGTTCTGCTGTTGGTGTTACAATCAGCCATAAGTTGATTGTACTTCTTATGCTATGTTGTACATAGCAATAGCATTTCATGCCATTATACTTTTTTTTTGAATTGAACTTTCTACTGCCAGTTTGAGCGAAATTCAGAATGCTCGTGGTATTATGGACGTTCTTGCAGAAATGCTTACTGCAATAGAGCCAAGTAACAAAGAAGTAAGTTGCTTTACTTGAACATTTAAAATATGATGTATTGTATGAAAATACATTTTGTGGCAAACATGTCATAGAGTCTTGGCTTTTGTCAATTTGGCTACTGATTGGGTTCAAAGTGTTTATCCCCTGTCAGGGATACTATATAGGGTAAGGTTTATCATGAATCAGTTATTGAATTTAGCTTGGCTGATGATAGAGCACAATGTTCTTGTACAATCCATGTAACCAACCCTATCTAGTGGGATAAGGCTTATTGTTTTGTGTTGGTTTTATGTCCTTGTAATGTACTACACTCAAGTATCTAGGTGTAGCTTATGCAAAACTCAAAATCAGACACTGGTAAACAATTATATGATTGTTCTCTTAAACTAAAATTTTGTGCTTGATTTGGCCTTTCTTTCTTTGGTTTAATTTGGCCTTTCTGAACCCTTGAAAAGCATGCTTTAAATATGTTTTTCCTCTAACACAAAATTAAGTTGTTTTTATCATTTTTGCATTGACAAAGTCCTATATATAACCATTATTTCTATTTTTAGGGCCTTAGGCAGGAGGTTATTGTTGATTTAGTGGAGCAGTGTCGAACCTACAAGCAAAGGGTGGTACACCTTGTTAATTCAACTTCGTAAGCCCTAATATTCTTATCCTCAAACTATGATATAGTGGTGCAATATTATCTTATTCTCTTCATTTTGGTCTTGCTTCCAATGGAATTAAAAAATAAAATAAAATAAAGAAAGCTATTTTTATGGTGTTTTCTGTTTTTCAGGGATGAATCGCTGCTATGCCAAGGTCTAGCTCTCAATGATGATCTTCAGCGAGTATTAGCAAAGCATGAAGCCATCGCTTCAGGTGTTTCTGTTGCAAATCAAACAGAGAAAGTGAAGTCTGAGCCTGCTGGAGCACTAGTAGATGTTGGTCCTTTGGTTGATAATGGAGAGGCAAGTAAACAAACTGATGGGAGGTAATCCATTCTTTACTATTGCTTTACATTGCTGGCCATGCTATCTAGCTGCTGTATTTCTAACTAATTCTCTTTTTGACCAGCAGAATTTATGTAATGATAATTGGACTTTGTTGGCAATAGTTAATCCTATTAGTCAAATCATGTTCAACTATTGTCTGTCAATTGTGTTTGTATCTGGGTTATTTCACTTAGGATCTTGTCTTTGGGGAACTAGGTATTGGATGTTCGGCTGCAGACATATTATTAATATGATAGGTTTTATGTATTTTCATGTCATGCGGAGTCTGAATTTTCTCCAGGCAAAGGTAGAAACAGCTTGATGTATGAAATTGCATTTCATGTTGACTTAACTAGAATAAGGTGCTTCCAGTTATGTAAGTTTTCTTATTATTTTGTTTCTTTGCACCTTAATATTTTCATTTGTGCATGTTCAGTTCAAGCGCTGAAGGTGGGTCTCAAACATTGAATCAATTATTGCTTCCTGCTCCTCCCACTTCTAATGGTTCAGCTCCTCATGCTAAGGCTGATCCCAAGATGGACTTGCTCAGTGGTGATGATTATGCCTCGCCAAAAGCAGAGACTTCACTTGCTCTTGTTTCTCTAGGAGAACAGCAACCAACAAATCCCGTGTCTCAGCAGAATGCCCTTGTTCTTTTTGATGTGTTTTCAAATGGCAACAGTGAACTGACTTCCACACAGCTAACCCAGCCAACTAATGTTGGTGGACAGACCAGTCCACTAGCCCCCCACGGTCAACAACAGCAGACGGCCATAACTTCACAAGGTCCATTTTATGCTAATGGAAGTGTGACTAATGTTGGGTCACCTCATTTTGAGCAATCACTTTACTCACAGAGCACAGGTCCTACCTGGAATGGTCAGGTTGCCCAGCAGCAGCAGCAGCTGCCGTCAGGTTCACCAGTTTATGGTGCACATTGTTCTTTAGTTTTTAATTGAAACATTTTCTACAGGGCACAAATCCTGCTCTACATTCTCTTGCCTTTTCAGCAAGCTCTTGTGATGACAAATTCATCTGTCTTCAAATTTCACAGCTGATTAGCAGTCAAAAAATGCATGAGTTGCTGTCTAATGGAGAATGTAAATGTTAGGATTTGCGCTCTCAAATTCCGTACTCTGGTAATTGTGTAACTCACGTTTTTATGTCTTCTAGGTGTGCAAAACAGTGAATCGTTGCCACCACCGCCGTGGGAAGCTCAACCAACTGATAACGGTAGTCCAGTAGCAGGCAGCAATTATCCCGCATCACTGCAAGTCACTCAAGTGGTTATGACGCATGTTCAGAGTGGTGCACATGCTCAGGGAATTCCGGCATTGGCGAATGACCAAGTTGTTGGAATGTATATGCAGCCGAATGCTAATGGCCCTGTGTCACCGATGAATAGCCATGCTGTTCACAGCAATCCGTTGGGCTTTCACCCTCAGCATATGCAGGGTGGGGCAGGACCATATATGGGTATGGTTTCTCCTCAGTTGCAAGCTGCACCTTTGGCTTCTATGTATCCTCAACAGATGTATGGCAACCAATTCTCGGGATATGGCTACGGTCAGCAACAAGGGGTCCCATACCTTGAGCAGCAAATGTACGGCCTATCTGTTAGAGATGATAATGGTTTGAGAAACTCCTACCAGGTTTCTTCCTCATCTTATATGCCACCAGGCAAACCTTCCAAACCAGAGGACAAGTTATTTGGGGACCTTGTTGACATGGCAAAATTCAAATCTAAACCCACTCCAGGTCGAGCTGGTAGCATGTAAAACTATGACTGGCTTGCAATTTTCACCTATTTGCTAACTTTCGGTCTGCAATTTTTCCCCTCCCCCCATTTTCCCATATATATGTTGTTATTGTGCCATATTCTGCTGCTTGCCTGGAAATGGCATCGTGATTATTATGTACATTCATTCTAAAAAGACACTAAAAAGAAAACTGGCCAGAGCATCCTACTCCTACTCGTCATAGTTAAGTTATCAAGAGTTGTCGCTCCTCCTCCCCTCTCGCGGGAGCTGTTTTGGCAGGAGGGCCGTTAGGCATTAACCACCATGTGAGATGTGGACGAGGAAGCTAGGATGGTTTCCTTTTCAACACTGCATTAAATTGGAAGGTACCATGTTAGCGATTATAGAGCTGTAAATAGATACTGTTGAGTGTAGACTGATGATGGTTCTGTAAAGGAGGTGAAGAAGCTCGTAAATATCCCTTCGTTATTTTTTGGGCCACAGGCATGGGGTATCCATTAGCATTATTTAAGGTGTGAAAACTACAGTATCAAACATCTTTGGTGATTAGCATGGAATGGAAAACTGGATTGGACCGGCTGGTTCAATTGGTGAACCAGTCAGTTGTCCGATTTAGTTTAAGCACCAACTCATTGTTGAATTAACCCGGCCTAACTGGGTCATCTTGGGATTAATTCGGGATAAACCGGATAACTCACTGAATTGGTTGGGTTAAAAAAAAATTGAAACGTCTTCTCTGTTTGAAGTCAAAATCGATCAATCCTTAGCCCTTAATTTTAGAAATTCAAATCTTCTTTGACTTTCGCTGCTCTGCCCCTCTGAAGAATCGCCGTCTGGCCTTTGTATCTCACTGTGCACTTTGTTTGAAAAACTTCACCTCACCGTCGATGCCAGCGTTGCTGTCTTCTGTTGACGTTGTTGCTTCCCTTCACTTTAGCAGTTCAGCAACTTAATGCTTGCCTCCTTGTCTCACCCTCGACGTTCTCGATTGTGCGTCTAGGTTTATCCATTTTTTTCTCGTTCAGTTGCTCATCGTGGTCTGTTGCTTCTAGTTTGAAGAAAGAAGGAAAGATGAAGAAGATGCATTATCATACTTGATTTGTTTTGCTCTGGAGAAAGTTTCTTACTTTTTTGGACTCTGGTTACTGCGATACATTACACTTTTATTTTTAGAAAAATAAATAAATTAAAAATAGTAAATAAATTTGAAAAATAAAAACTGACTTGATCAATAATAAAAAAGTTATCTGTCCAAGAAAAAATTGAGATAGGCTATTTAATAACCAACAGATATATCTGAGGGTGGGTGGATGAAAGAGGACAACTAATGGATATATGTGCATTATTAATTGGTGGTGCACAGGGCGAAAGGTTAGTAGCTCCAGCCTAAAAGCCTAAAAGCTGAAACAAATACTTATTATAGGCAAAAAATTAATATTTTATATTATTAATATATCATATTTTGAAAACCTGCACGGTTTTACCTATAAACGAATTATTGTTTAATTTTATATTATTATAGTCTTTGTTATTTTGGAATAATTCTTATCATTTCAGATAGTATAAATTATGAAGTTAATTAAAATTTTAGTATTGATGATGATTAAGTTTAGGCTATTTAATGATTGAAAGAATGTAAGGATGAATATTTAAAATGTTGTGTTTTATTATTGTTAGAATTGTTATTGTATATTATATGAGATATTAAATCTTGAATATGAATAAATATATTGAGAATTAATGTGATTTTGTTTAAATTATTATATTTTATTATGACCGGTCTGATTTTGGCTTGACCTCCGATTAAACAATTGACCCTTAATCCAGTGTTTTAACTAGTTCAATGATCGATCTGATTTTCAGTACCTTAATAATTAGTGTCTATGTATGCAAACATGTTGGGAGAATCATATTAAAGTTCTATATAAGAAAATTAATTATTGTAAGATCTATTAATAACTGAATTAAATTGTATTGTCAATGCAGTTTAGTTCAATTATCAATAGGCCCTATAATAATTAATTTTTTTATGTGAGATTTAATTGTAATTCTTCCAAACATATTTTTCCTTTTAATAAAATGAGAAGCAATAATTTTTCTTATTTTCCTTCTATTCTCGCAATGAAATCCAGGGAAGAGGATAAAAAGAAACAGAGTATCACATGATGTTTATAAAAAGTCATTGCTCAAAAAATGTTGGGCACCATACCGTCATTCAATCGTTAATCCATTAGACAATTAGGACGGTCATTTGGTTATCGTTTTATTTTGTTGGGGGTTAAGATTATCTGGTCATTGTTTATATAAGGTTTGTTCTCTAATTTTGATATTTAACGCGAAATGTTTCATTTTTGTTTTTACATAATAAAAATACAGACATGGAAAAGAAAAGAGTCTGACACGAGGGGGCTTCTCATTAGGAGTCACAACGGATGATTTTGCCACTCCAGTCATAGCGCGAGTACATTCAGATAAAGGCGAAAACGTTCCATGTGTTTTTAAGGGAAAATTAAATAGGTTTTTTAAATTTTATCTTACATATGAAATAATTTATAATAATTTTTTCTTTTGATTTTATCATTTAAATTTCCCATGCATCTTGGAACCCATCTTTGAAGGCTACTGAACTCTATGCTTAGGGTTACGAAAAAGCAAGTTCATGGTTTCCTGACCCTATGAATCCGTTAGCTACTAATGGGCTCGACCTTGCTTTTTTTTTTTTAATATAAAATCACGGTAAAAATTGTGTAAAGCAACTAAAATTAGATCATATCTAAAGTCATTAAATTTTTACAATCTGTTGATGGATTGTCAAAAAAAATTATATCAAAATTTTCATTCGATATTTTGTAGATTAAAAGATCAATGCATCAATTGATTTTCCTATAAATATGATTAAAAGTTATTTGTTTTGCCTGTAACTCCTTTTACCACATTAAGGATAACGCCCAGAGTGAAATTGGACCGGCCCTCCCTAACCCTAATTCCCAAGAGGATATTGGACGGGTCAATCGACTTCTTGATCCGTTTCCCGACCCCATAACCACTTGATGACAGCCCGATCCGATACTCTCAAGTCTCAACCCGCCCGCTTCTGGTAATTTTGGGAGGGGGAAAAAATAAACGCCCGCGGGCAGTCCTAATCTCGCTTGATAGAAGAAGGGGATCCATTTTTCTTGGTCGACGCACAAGTATTCCGCACTTGGTCGAGTTCGCCGTTGGACGCCGTCTACCGTTATCAGCCCTGCGTGGTTGTTCTCCGGCAGTTATTGAAGAAGATTCGAACCCTAGGGCTTCGTCTTCCCCAAAATTCTGGTAAGACTGACTTGTTTAATCTGGCTTTGAATCTAGGTTTGAATTTGTTTCCCGCCTCATCTGCTCCTTGCGTGGTTGTTAACCCTGTGGCGGACGCCATCTCACCGTTTCTTTCTTTATTTTAATTTTTTCATTATATTCTGGCTTTGGAAGTGGTGTTACCGTTTGTATATTGGCGCTTTTGCACCTGTGAATATTTACAGATTGAGTTTGATTTCTAACTGTGATTACTCTAGTTTTCGCTTGAATGGTGTGTTGGCCATTATAGTTGTGCCCTCTTCATTTTTATTACCAGCGACTTGTATGCTTTGGATTGTGTTGCTTGTGCACTGTTGGATTTGTTCCGTATCGGCATTATGCTTATTAATCTCTGTAGATTATCATCAATTTAGAAAATTCTCGAAGTATTTGTGATGCATGATCTCTTAAATGACTTGGCTTGATTGAAGCTTGGGTTTAAATCATTTCTGCTGCTTATTGGTTTGTGAATTTAGAAGCAACTGACAGAAACAATCAATTGCACACCTTACTCACTCCAGGCAACACTTTTCATGGTCATAAATTGCAAGATGAAATTGGAAGATTATTAATTGTGAGAGTGTTATCATTGTCATTCTTCAGTGGCTTGGAGGAGCTGCCTGAATCAATTAGCTTGCTAAGGCATCTGGAGCAAAAATTAAAAGGGTATGATATCAATTATGCATGTTTCAGAGATTTCAGGAGGGGCAGATGCCCCCACTGATTGTAATATAGTCTGCCTATGATTCTCATTTTTGGCACACGAATAATGGAATATTTATCTTTGCAGTTACAAGTTCCGTTGAGGTTTGTTTCCAGTGTGATCGTATCAGACATGCAGGTTGGATGCCATTAGATACCTTCTTTGCTCTGCTGATTTATTATGTATGTTATATTTGGTGAATTTTATGGAGATATTTTACAAATTGAAAGGACTAGCTGGATATTTTATTAGAATAGAAGCAATTGAATGGCTGTACTCAAATGTGCTCTTAATATTTTATGCAACGATTGTAATACTGTCTTGTTTCAAAGTTCCCCCACTAGTTTTTATCTTCCCACTGACAATTATGGTTTATTGCACTTTCTGCGGGTTCCGGATGCAATGTTTCTTAATTAGCATAACTTTTAATAAATGCCTTACAATGCAACCTGGATTATGTGCTCTATACAGGCATCACGAGCAAGATTGTTCAAGGAATATAAAGAGGTTCAACGAGAGAAAACAGCTGACCCAGATATTCAACTTGTCTGTGATGATTCTAACATTTTCAAATGGACAGCCCTTATCAAGGTATGCTTAGTCATATAGAAGAAAGCATAATACATCTTTGGTTTGCTCAAGTTGGTTTGGTTTAGTTTGATTCCTTTCATTTCCCTGTAGGGACCATCAGAGACTCCTTATGAGGGGGGTGTTTTCCAGCTTGCTTTTGCTGTTCCGGAGCAGTATCCTCTACAACCTCCTCAAGTTCGGTTTTTGACTAAAATATTTCACCCAAATGTACATTTTAAGGTAGGATCCCCACAAGGTGACTATCAGTTCATCTTGGTGGTGCTTCACCTATAAAGTTCGAGCATACTATAACTAGGGAGGAAAAAGGCATTTATAAGAAATGTATCATTATGATTTATTTTGTTGAAGAACAATTTCCCAATCAAGCCATCTGTGAGATTTTGCTCTAAATTGGGTCGAAATTGATGCCAATGTCATATCTTTTATACATGGTTTGTGCGGGGATTGGGGAATGAATGGATTAAATACGCTTGCAATCCATGTTGTAAGCAATGGGTCCTTGTGTCTTCTGTAAACATGGATCTCGAAATCTTTTTTAAAATTAAAAATAAAATCTGCAATTCTTCATGCAAATATGCTCTAGGTGTATATAATGTAACTAATATGTCTTAGCCACTTGTCTAGGATGCTTCGTTATGGCAGAAAAAATCAATGAACTCTGTGGTTATCAGCATTTGATGGGTTAGAAAAGACTTAGTTCTATGCCCACTATTAGCTTTGTTGAGTTTTATAAACAACTCACAGTGGACGTCTATCTTTGGCAAATTGATGTTTGGTGATGTTTTAATATGTTAGTAACAGTAATCTTCCTTTTCAGACAGGTGAGATATGTCTGGATATCTTGAAAAATGCTTGGAGCCCAGCTTGGACACTTCAATCTGTCTGTAGGGCTATAATAGCTCTGATGGCCCATCCAGAACCTGACAGTCCATTGAATTGTGATTCAGGTTCACGAACTTTCTCCACTTCTTGATCAATTTTATAATTTATGATTATAATCACTTCTCTAGTAATAGGATTTAAAAGTAAGGAGAAAGGTATCTATTCAAGTACAAGACCTCATTTAGTTGTCCTCCCTGGTAATGTATTTCATCATGTTTTTTAAGATCTAATTTAAGACACAGAATTCGTAAGGTATGGGTCATATGGGAATTTTCTTTCTAAACCGTAATTTCTGCATCAATTGTGTTCGAGAAACTGAGAGGCGCCTTGCATTAGAAGAGGTTCTGTTTTGCAGGCGTTATGATATCTTAAGTTGCACATAATGCCTGAATTTGACACCCTTTTTTCCGAATTTTGTTATTGATCATATAACTGTCTTCTATCACATTTTTCTATTCTAGGATGAATTGACAAATTCAAGTTATCTCTTTTTTTTTTTTTGACGATTTAAGAGTGAGCTGTATGCTTGCTATACTCTTTTTTTTTTTTTTGGGCTGAACATGCACATGTAATTGGGAAGTAAATTGGATCCTACGCATTTATGGATTTATACATTTGAAGAGTGACACAAGAAATATGGGATTCATATTTCATATTTTCATTATTACATTGTTTTTTTTTGGCTCTTTTATTTTATTTGAAAGCATCATATTTATGTTCACTTTTGTGATGTAAGAATCCAAATTTCTGAAGATTACTCCTCCAGTCTTGTATGTTAATCACCTTTTAGAAGCATAATCTGGTTCACTTTGTAAGTCACTAGCTAATTGGATTATTTTGTTTCAAATTGAAACCTCCAAACTACCCTTGAAAAGTAAGAGAGAGAAAGATAGAAAAACTAATCTTATATTATTTGTTTACTTTTTGCTTTTTATTTGAGAGTTATATTTGCAATTTTACTTATTTTTATTCCTTGTGTTATTTTTTATATTGATATTGATGAAATTGGTAAAAATGACTTATAAAAAGAACCAGATTAAGTGTTATGAAAGTTACTACTACTTATGCATTTTTGTGCACAGGTAATCTTTTGCGTTCAGGCGATGTTAGAGGGTACCAGTCCATGGCCAGAATGTACACTCGACTAGCAGCAATGCCAAAGAAGGGCTGAATTATTTGAGAATCCAGAGAACTCGTTCCTTGTGTATTTCTTAGCTGCAGGAAATGGTCCTGCGTAAATATATGGATGTTATGTGTGATGTGTTAATACCCTCAGATGTTTTAAGGTAGCCAGCAACTGCTACGGGCAGTTCTTCGTCTATATTCACTTCAAATTATAGATTTCAAGACACGAGCAGATGATTCTCATGGTGTTTGATGGTATCTATAAAAGTGATGACTTTCTTTGTAGTAAAATAATTAATAAATATCCAGCCAAGAATATCCAGATGCTCATACCCGATAGTGTCAGATCACTAATGCTGTACTGGCATCAGAAATTTTCCGAAATGTTCCCAAAAAACAAATTAGTTATTTCAAATTACTGCATAGATGATTTGTGACACCTTTCTAAAAATATCTCTGCCTTTCAATAGTTAAAAAAATTGCAAAGATAAAAACAATCTAATAAATAGGTGTATTATGGGAAAAAAATAATATGATAGACAAGGAAATGAACCCTAGCATTTGAATCAAAACTCTCAAACAAACCTTGTATTGTAGCGGACAAGAACGAATATATAATTTTTTATTCCCCTCAAACAATCCTACTTCGTCATATTTGTGAAAGAAACCACCGCTATTCAAACATCTTTATTTTTTTATTACATCAGGAGGATATAGACGTTGATCAAAATGAACTGATTACCAAGCACACACTAAACATCGTTAAATGACAGAATGAGAGACAGGAAAGTCCTGGGGATACATTGAGGGACAAAGCAAGCTATTATTTCCCACGGATCATATACCAAGGAATCTGAAATGCGCTGGTCTGGAATTTTAGAGAGAGAGAAATCTGAGGGCACAAGCTAAGCCTTCAAAAACCTATCGAACCAATCAGATGCTTCTTTCATCATGGATGGTGTTGTTTGGTGCTCAATTCCAGGTTCCACGATCAGCTATAGCAAAGAGATCAGATGTAAACGAAAATGTATATCTTAAGAGAAAATAGTGATGGAAAAACTTTTATCCCCATGTCAAAATAAAATATGAAAAAAAAAACTACATAAAATAAAACCCAAGACTTACTCAACTAATCTCGGCAGTTTTTGTTTTCATTAATTATTGATACAGCGAGAATGAATCAATTAGAGCCTCGTCTCACTACTCATATCTTCATTACCCCCCAGCCCCTCCTTGATTGTGTTTGAACAAATAGTCTTATTTGTGTGCAACAATGGCCCATTGTCTAAGCACAGATGCAAATGTGAGCGATGCAGAAAGAATCAAATAAAACACGTAACGTCATCAAAATATCACATGATTCGATTTTCAATAATAAAATGGCAAAATGGATTACGCTCACGCAAACAACCCACCATTTATGTGTACATGCACTTTTTTGTGGCTATGATAGCAGAGCAAGACTGCAGTTTAAGTAACTTTCCTTTCAATCTTTAGCCAAGGGCGGGCTGGAGTTACTCAGTTTAGGGGTGATTTGCCCCAATCTCCTCTCGCCCCAAAAAGAGGTGGGGGGAGGGGGGGTAGATTTTTCATATGTATGTATGTATGTATAACACTATGCCCAAAAAATTTTAAAATCTGCTGCCCTCATCATCATTTTTTTAAACCCAAAAAAGATTTTCCCCCCCTTGGTATGGCAGGTTTTTTACGAATTGTTGCATCACTGAGATAGGTGCAGCATTCTACATATGAAATCTTCTTATTAAGCAGAGGAAAGAATAACATGTTCGAGTTCAAACTTTAGAATTCTATACCTTGAAATTGTCCAGACAGTGAGATTCTCCATACGCTTGCCGTGCATCTGACTTTGGAACTTCCAAACCTTCGAGGGGACATCGAGGATCTTCAGCACCTGAAGTTTACAATGTAGAAGAGTATTTCAATTCCAAACAACTTGAAAGAACCTGATAGAATCACTTTAGCTGCACAAACCTATAAGAGGAAACATTGGAAAATACAAGAAAGGGAAAGCCACTTTAGGAGAGGCAGAACGTTGCCCTTGCTCTTCTTGTTCTTAAGGAGCAAACTATGCAGGCTTAGAGTTGACTCAGGGTGGCTTTAGGGCCGTTTTAGCAGAAAGTGGTGTCGGAGATTGTGCAAGGTGTTTTTGGGGCTTATAGTAGTGATGTAAAATACACACACACTTGCGTGGATTCAAACTGAGGGAGAGAGTAGGGAAAAAAGAACAGAACAGGGGAGAAATTAGAGAAATATAGAAACAGAAAGAGGGAGACATAAGAGACTAGAGCTGAGAGGGAAGGGGAACGTTGGGAGAGAAATGCAGAGTTGAGAGGGAGAGCATTCACATAACTTAGAAATTCATTTATTCAAGTCTGCTTTACAAAAGCAAAGCCTAATCTATTTAAACTAAACTTTCCTACTAATAACAGAAACCTTAAAAGTATTAAAATAACACAAACGAAGCTACAACCTAGATAGGTTTCTTACAAGCCAAAGCAAAATGCTGCTGCTGCTACTACAACAGCAACAGCAACTACAATAATAATCTACTAGCCTAAGTTTCTTCAAAATATGATATTCTTATATTTTATCATTTCTCTCCTACTTGATGAAACTCTCCCCCGGAGAGTAAAGAAGTTAATGCAACTCCACTAAAGCTAATCTGGAGATCCTTTCCAACATATAAAGTAGTGGAAAATGAGAGTGTGGAGAGTAAGCAAGCTGATCATAGTGATTTGGAAAACCTTCTCGATGAACAAGGTTGCTATTGAGGTTATCATCAAGTGGAAAAACAATCTTCTCTTTCATAACCAATGGGAAACTAGAATTTTGGTGAAGTTGAATACTCCTCTCGTCATGCTCCCTAACTTGATAAATCTCTAAAGCCTATGACTCAAGATCTTTGACTACCAATTTGAAACCTTGATTCAATTCAAGACTCATGCCTTCATATTTCATGGAGATTTCTTCTGAATCAGCCTCATTCTCCTGTTTCTTAATAAACTTTGTGTTGGCCTCATTTACTACCTTGACTTCTTCCATAGCTAAGCTTCCAATTTCAAGACCACTAGTATCATTAGAATTTCTTTTTGGTACAACCGGTATTGGTGAAGCCTTCTTGATGAGTGTACCATTCTCTTGTGCCTTGAAAATATCATAATCTTGTTTTGAGAAAGTTATCTCCATACCCCTTTGGTGGCCTAAACATTTGAGAGTTCTTAAGGCTTTGTCAAACTTACTATTCATATACTCCTTCAACTCTTAAATTTTTTGATCCTCATATTCCTTATGAGCCTTCTAAGATTTCTCAAGGTAACTATTAGTAATTTGGAACCTAGTGAACACAAACTAAACTTCCGTAAATGATTTCTTGCACATATGATAGGTCTGAATAGAAGGAACTATGCAAAATAACACAGAAAACAATGAAAACACAGGCTCTCAGAGGGTTATCAGCCTCACCAACATAGCTTTATAGACTAAAAGATGAAATTTTATCCCAAACTAGGCTTTAGCTGATGATTTGGGTCTCTTAAATTGGTCAGAACAGAGGGAACTTTGCAAAACACCTCAGAAAACAAAAAATAGGTTCTAGAGGCTTCTGTATGGTAGCGCATGGCTAGTGTGTGAAGTTCACACGCAGAGAGTCCACTGGCATGTGGATGTGTGTATGATGTCGGAAGGCAGCAAGACTTCAGGTTTTGACCAAATTTGTCCTCCTAAACATAGTGGTGGTGGTATCTTAAACACGAATCAGGGTTTCTGGGCAAGGCAGCATTAAAACAAAGGTTGCAGGGACTTTCCGGCGAGTTTTCTCTGTTCTCCAGCAATTGGAAGAGCCTAAGAGCGCTCAAAATGAGGCTTTGATACCAAACTGATATAAGAGGCACTCACACATACTTGTACGGATTCAAACTGAGGGAGAGAGTAGGGAGAAAATAGAGAAATATAGAAACAGAGAGAGGGAGAAATGAGAGATGAGAACTGAGAGGGAGGGGGAATGGAGGGAGAGAAACGCAGAATTGAAAGGGAGAATATTCACTTAACCCAGAAATTCATTCATTCAAGTTTGCATTACAAAAGCAAAGCCTAATTTAGTTAAAGTAAACTTTCCTACCTATTAAGGAAACCTTAATCACTCGTCCACTAGGATGCATAGATATGGGTATAAGTATCCAATACAATACAGCATGATATAGGGATACGAAAAATTTTCAAAAGTTAAGGATATGGGTGTAGGGATATTTGTAATATATATTTCAACATTTTATGATAGAGGCGTAGGTATTTTGATTTTTAAACAAGAACTTCTAAAACAATAAAAGGATATTTATAACAATCAACCAAAATATAAAGGGTTTTTTCAAGTTTTTAAGTGATATAGTAAACAATTATTGAAAAAAATTATATTACAAATGTTAGGATATGGGATACAAATGCTAAAATATCTTACAAGTATCATATCAAATATGAATACGTTTAATTTTTTGAAGTATTGGTGCTTCATAGCTCATCCATATAAAGCAAAGGTTCAAATTTCCCTCTTTACAAAATAACACAAAAGAAGCTACAACCTACGTAGGTTTTTCACAAGCTAAAGCAAAATACAATAATAATAATCTACTAGCCTAGGTTTCTTCAAAATATGATATCCTTATATTTCATCAAGTAGTTGTTAGTGTCTTTTGAAAGGGAGGTTATATTTTGAATATGGTTGTAAGAAGAGACAAGCCTCTCGAAAGCCTAAGGGCATGCTTAGTAGCGCAGTGCTGTGTTTTATGTTGTGTTATTTCTGATCTGGTATTTTGGTTGTAACAAGGGATAGGGTTTGATCTAACTCAATGGTGTCTCTTGTAACATTGGCTTAGCATTTTGAATACATTAACATTAGACCTCAGCATTTCCCTCAACTTTTGCTCACTGTTCCTTTATTTTTTTCTGCATCAAGTTTGGTTATTTTGTTGGGTTGCATCAGAACCACACAAAAATTGAACACCCAAAATAATTCAACTGAGTTAGGTCTATCATACTATCTCGACTACAATACAAGGTTATATCATGGCATGGTTTAATTGATTTGTACATCTAAGAACTCGAACAGAATAATCAGGTTTCTAGCTAAAGTTTGTGAATGCTCGTATATAACTCTTCCAAAATAAATTTAAACGCACAAGCAAGGATCTCACCATTTAGAATAAGCAGGGGGCGGGGTGCAATAGCTGGAATTGAGTATGGCGAGTCAAACTTGGAAGCTAGGCCTGGAGCAATCTTGTCCCATACCTGTTATAACAGAGACAGACAGAATAACTGGAACAAAGCTGTTTGATGGGTCAGTACCGATGCATCAAGCATTGACAATCCAGTTTTACATTTATGACAAAGCAACAAATATATCAATTATCGAAGCAAATAGACATTCATTTAGAGTGTCAAAGTCATAAAAAATTGGCAGACCTTCTCGACCACTTCTTTGTCAATAGCAGTCTTTCCCAAATCATCACGAGCCACTGCATTCATTACCCTAAGAGCATTAGGAATGAATATACAACACCAACTTCAGGATATGCATTCACCACCATCATGCCTCAATCAATACCCAATATGACTCAGTTTCATGTCTTATTTGCAGTTCTAGGTTTTACTCAAACTCTACTCCAACTTTGTCATGCAACTTTAGTCTATGATGAATGAGAAAATGTCATCGCTGTGAAAACAATTAAGTTATACATCAAATATAAATCAAGCAGTGCATGCACGAACTGAAACACGCAGGATCATTGAATTTATATAAGGCATAAAATCAATAATATATAAATCTAGGAAGAAGAAGAAGAAAGAATCAGGCTGAAGACAATAAAACAGGAAAAGCGAAAGAAAAAAAAATCAAATTGGGAAATGATTTTTTAGTGAAAATATTTTAATTTATTTGAATGGTACTAACCCTCAAACAGAGGCCTTATACTGTCAACCCGAGCCTGCCACTTGTCATTGTCAATGGCCCATCGAAACCCCTACAATATCTTAGCACATAAGTTTTCAATTACTTGTCGCTAAAGCACATCACCATCAACAAATATTCCATTAGAAAAATTCAATGTAACCTGAACACCAATCATTGGGACTACCACAGCATAGCGGGTGTCTACAAATGCTGCAAACCATGCATGCATTCCTGCATAGAGGAATAACATGCGTTACAGGTTACATTAGACATGGCGTCAGACATATTCCTTTCAACTAGTCTAAACCAACCTCCAAGAGATATCCCGGTGATTCCTATTCTAGAAGAGTCAATATCCTCCCTTTGAATTAAATAATCTGCCAATTTTATCAAGTCCCAGACCTGCCACAACAGAGAATAATACACCTGCTTTTAACTAAACTAACCATATGTTAGGCCACTAATTCCATGATATGTTTCAAATTTTCATTCGGAGAAGATAGCACAATTCAGTCTTAAGTAACTATTATGAGAAAAACAGCATAAATACATAATAGATAAAGAAATTACCGTGTCATATATGAATGGCATTGTCTCACCCGTTTTCCAAGCAGAAATAAGAGCCTTTTTTCCAAAACAAAGAAACAGGGGAAGAAAAGCAAACTATAATCAGTTTCTAAGTCTATACTGTAATTAATATTCTATTTATGAAGGACCCAGACACACATTCAAGGAGAAAAAGTTTTCGATCTCTTCAGTTAAAAGAGAAATGATCAATAAAAGTAACATAAAATTAAGGCAATACTTAAGCAGGATTTCTTTTTCTACATAATGCAGTGCAAATAATCGATCAAGGTAAAACTTAGTAAAGCAAAGAGGGGAAATACAAATTAAAAAAAAAACACACACACATCCCGATAGGTATTTGTGCTGCTGGCGCGTTCACCATGGTAGCGAGAGTCAACGGCTATTGCTATATATCCTCGTGAAGCATATGCCTGAGACATAAAGCGAACAAAATTAGAAACCATGGACTGAGAGAAAGCATCTTCTTAATCCATTACAGAATTTGCAGAGAACCAGAGAAAAATAGGAAAAGTAGCCACCTTAAGCAACGGGCGTAAGAATTCTTTACATTTGTTCGTGCTATGTAGAAAAACAACGGCTGGCCTTCTTTGATTTGTGTTCTCCTTCAAGCTCAAAATCAGCGCAGGCAAGCGTCCTTGCTCTCCTTCCTAATGCACCGTCAGCACTTGATACATTACCATACGCTCAATACCAACAAATGCATATCATTGTAGAATTAAAGCTTTTTTCTGGATTCAAATAAAAGATCCAATGAATTCAAATCACCTCCGTAATCAAATAGAGATTTTCCTCCTTCAGCGAGTGTTCAAAGTTTTCAATGTTCGCCTTCAGAGACGACTCCAAACTTACCTGGTATAGGTTCATAAATCAAATCAACTGAAAAAGAAATCACATGCAAGAGAAGAGGGACTATTTCGAGAGAAAGTCGGAACCTCAGCAGAAGGTGGAGTATTATCCTGATACAAAGGGTTCGCCACTGGCTTCGCGAGCTCCACGCGTAGCGGAACTGAAACAACAGTAAGAATTTCAGACATCGAGTAAAAATATTCATTGCATACGAAGTCGAAACACGCCGTTCAACACGATGATTTTATCAGCCAGTTCACTACTCGCGTTCAATTGTATAGCTAAGGAATCGAATAAAATCGAGAACAATAATGGAAAAAGGAAGATTCAAGTGAAACGCGGATGCTTCCTTCGGTAATCCTATATTGATTCTGAATACCTTCAGAGGCTCGCCTGCCACGGAGGACAAGGAGGAAATCTGATTGGAGCTTCCGATAATCAATGGCTTCTCCCATTTTGCGATTTGTGCAGCGACGAGTGACCACGTTGACTATGGCATGCGATCCGTATTTATGAATGACAATATATTTTGGCGGGGGCATGTGACACGTGTGCCTTAACAGATTACGCACGTGCGACAGACGGACCTGGCAGCTCAAGGATGAGTAGGCGGTCCCAGTGGGAATTCCCGGCACCGCCGCCATTCTCCGTCGCAAGTCGGGATTTCGCAGGCCGTTCTTTTCCTTAAAATATATTTAATCAATGTCTTGCATTTAAGTATTTCACTTCCTGTTAATATTTTTGCCCCTTTTGAAATTTATTTCATTGCTCCTCCTTGTTGAAAGAAATTCTTGCATTCACCGAACTCATGACATTACTTAACAATAAAATTATTAAAAATAATAATACTCAACACTCCCTAACTAAAAAATGTAAAATGCTTTTTATAAATTTTAAAATAAAATAATTAATTATCATTAATAAATTTTATTTTTATATTTATTTATATTTAATAAAATGTTTTAATTTAAAAAAATATAAAATAATTTTTTTATTATAAACACTTAAAAAAATATATGAAAAGTCTTACATTTTTAATATTTAATTTTTTAAAAAATATTTATATTTTAAATTAAAAATATCATAAATCATGATTGATGTATGACACCTTGCGTATATAAAATTTTTCAGTCAAACATTTAATAACATGTTAAGTCCTGACTGCCTGTTGGCCAAAAAAGTAAAAGAAAAATAAAACAAACAAAAAACAACTTATTTATTAAAAGAATTTTTTTTTTAATCGTCAATAAATGATCACAGTAGGCATCAAACCGAACACCTTACAAGTCATCCATGACAAGTCGATCCCGTCAGATAATTATGTAATAAGAAATATTATTCATTATTATTTGTCTCTCAATTTCTGAGATTAATTTTGTGAAAAAAGGTAAAGCGTTCTCTTTGGTTTTGTTTATAAAATAAAAGTAGCAATCTCCCATGGTCAGTTGTTTCATGAAAAAAAAAATCATTTCATGGTAAAAAAAAAAATTAAAGAAAGAAAGAATAATTAATCTTTCCATTGCCTTTGCTCTAATGAAGAGGACCTAAATCATCTTCTTTCTAGGCTGTCCAACCAGAACATGGACCCATCATTTGAAGGGAAAGAACCCATAATTGTAAAATATGCCAGGAAGTCGCATGGAAGCTCCATTTCCTGCCTTTTATGTCGTAATATCAGTACAAAGTACACTTGTATAGAACGGCACAGCAACTGGCCAAATTAGGGCCTGACTCTTGTGCTTTTGAGGAAAGTGTTTCAGAACAATCAAGACTTCGGAGAAAATTCAAGGAAATTGCGCTCGCAAGTAGGCCAATTAAGTAGTGCTAGTTAACTTGATTGTAAAATAATTTTTTTATTATAAACACTTAAAAACAATATGAAAATCTTACATTTTAAAATATTTATTTTTTTAAAAATATTTTATATTTTAAATTAAAATATCATAAATCATGATTGATGTATGACACCTTGCATATATAAAAATTTGTCAGTCAAACATTTAATAACATGTTAAGTCCTGACTGCCTGTTGGCCAAAAAGTAAAAGAAAAATAAAACAAACAAAAAACAAATTATTTATTAAAAGAATTTTTTTTTAATCGTCAATAAATGATCACAGATTAGGCATCAAACCGAACACCTTACAAGTCATCCATGACAAGTCGATCCCGTCAGATAATTATGTAATAAGAAATTATTATTCATTTATTTTATTTGTCTCTCAATTTCTGAGATTAATTTTGTGAAAAAAGGTAAAGAGTTCTCTTTGGTTTTGTTTATAAATAAAAGTAGCAATCTCCCATGGTCAGTTGTTTCATATTTTATCTTTTTCGCAGGAAGTGAAAGAAAAATCATTATCATGGTAAAAAAAAAATTAAAGAAAGAAAGAATAATTAATCTTTCCATTGCCTTTGCTCTAATGAAGAGGACCTAAATCATCTTCTTTCTAGGCTGTCCAACCAGACATGGACCCATCATTTGAAGGGAAAGAAGTCGCATGGAAGCTCCATTTCCTGCCTTTTATGTCGTAATATCAGTACAAAGTACACTTGTATAGAACGGCACAGCAACTGGCCAAATTAGGGCCTGACTCTTGTGCTTTTGAGGAAAGTGTTTCAGAACAATCAAGACTTCGGAGAAAATTCAAGGAAATTGCGCTCGCAAGTAGGCCAATTAAGTAGTGCTAGTTAACTTATTGTTTGCCATACGGCTATAATGTGATTTTGCATCTCAACAGCCAACAGCATAATGCCATTCGCTGTTTCTATGTAAGTTAAAGACGGAGAGTACAAGTTAAACATGTTGGAACTTGGAAGTTTAATTTGTAATATAGCTTGATAGAACCTCAAGGAAAAGTATCAGCTCTTCCAGACAAATTTTTTTAACCATCACTCGAGTTAGTGACAGAAAACATCTCTATTATTGCCTACTTTTTACTCTAATCCTAGTATCTTAATGCTACTGGTTTTTTTGGTTCCGTGAATTTTTCTTCTCAGCCTATCTCTTAAACGAAATAACCATGCATCTATCACCATTTTTCATTTTGGTTCACCTGAATATTTTTCATTTGGATATGAGCTGTGGTATGAAGGCATAGCCATCGGCGAACTCTGTAAAAGAACTTGAGATTTACAGAAGCCAATGAGGCTTGCAGATTTAAAGCATGAGTTTGATTTAACTCAGTTCATAAGACGGCTTGACAAGTGACAACACATCGAAACTCATTTATTTCTTTTTATTGGTGTCATCAGAGTTTCGAAAGAAGCCCTTTGGTCCATCTAGAACACCTTGTTTTAACTCTCCCACAATTCTCCCCCCACAGCCATTAAGAGTGGTTTGGATCTACGGCAAATACAATGATGAAGCAACTGATGAAAACCAAATTTACTGTGCAATCAAACACACTCCAACCTTAGCAACCATGAAAGGCTAATTTTAAGTTACAAAGAATCATGGGGCTGCATTCTGCAATTCTGCATATTGTAGAGAAATGCTAGAGGATACATTCGACAGATAAGGAGTGCTGCATAATTCAGACACAAAAAATATGAACCCGGGCAAGTAGGCCGTAGGCGTCAGGAATAAGCCAGCAAGTTAGTATGAAAATTTACACTCAAATAGGGCGTGAAGAACAATTTTAGATCCCAAACTAGGCCTTTAAAAATCTGTCCAACCAATCAGATGCTTCTTTAGTCATGGAAGGTGTCATTTGGTGCGCAATTCCAGGTTCTGCGATCAACTGTATATTAAAGCGATTAAATATAAATGAAGAAACAGATATCTTGGCGATAAGTAAGGCAGTTCTACTTTATCATTGAAAGAAAATAGCATGGCAGAACTTTTATTCCTAGGTAAAAAATAATATGAATTGATTCCATTTGATTAAGTCATGGGTGAAATCACGAGCTTGATTTTGGCCAAGCTAGATAAACTTTTCAACAAAATAAAATTCAAAACTGTCCCCCACTAGTCTTGGTAACTTTATTTTTCATTAATTTATAATCCCATGAGAATAAATCAACTAGAGCTCCATCCTAACTGCTCAGACCATCATTAAACCCCTAAATTGTTTGGATTATAAGTACTTTGGTCTGTATTTAACTACAGTTTTTTATCCCAGCAAGCGCAAATATAAGGCATGCTAAAGAAACAAATAAAACACATACACTCAAAAAAGATCATGGCGTATGATTTTGGAAATGAAATGGCAAAATGGTGATGCTCAGGCTTAAAAACTCATCATCTATGCGCAAATGATATACCAGCATGTGTTTCCCATGTACTTTGCAAGGAAATTACTCCAATCCAAGGAACTTTCCTTCCAATTTTTTAATATTAGAGGTTTTTTATGCTGCTTTACACATTTTGGAAATTGCAGCCCACTAAAGAAGAAGGAACGTATATTTAGTTTGAATTCAAACTGTAGAAGTTCATGCCTTAAAATTATTCAGACTGTGAGACTCTCCGTATGCCTGCCGTGCATTTGACTCTGGAATTTTCAAACCTCCAAAGGGACATCGAGGATCTTCAGCCCCTTAACATTGTCCAAGAGAATGCTTCAATTCCAAATTCACTAAACCTCCCACCAAAGAAGAAGAAGAAGAAGAAGAAGAATTATTCTCCGTACTGATTTGTCCATTTATAAATTTGTATGGAAGAATAATGTTGCTAGGTACAGTTTGAAAATGTTTAATAGCTCAAACTAAAACAAAAAAATTTGAAGCCCAAGCAAGGATCTTACCATTTAGAATAAGCAAGGGACGTGGTGCAATAGCTGGAATTGAGTATGGTGAGTCAAACTTGGAAGCTAGACCGGGAGCAATCCTGTCCCGTACATGTTAAGAATATGGAACTATGAAATCATTATCTGTGCCTAGACGCTTAGAATAACTTGAACAAGGCTGTTTTATTGGTCTGTACCATTTCTTCATGCATTGACAATGCATGATCGATAAAGCAATACAAGTTCATTTGGAGAGTCATGATAATAGTCATAAAAAATTGGCTGACCTTCTTCACAACTTCTTTGTCAATAGCACTTTTACCCAAGTCTTCACAAGCCACTGCATTAATCACCCTAAGGACATCAGGGATGTACAAATCAGGATATGCACTCACTAACATCATTCTTCAATAAATACGCAATATGACTCAGTTTGATTTCTGTCTTACACTAAAGGTTTTTACTCATACTATTTCAACTTTGCGATGCAATTGTAATCTATGATGAATGGCACAACGAGAAAGAAGAGATCGCTTTTACAAGGGGAAAATTGAAGCAACATATCAAATATGTATCAAGCAATAGATATACAAACCGGTAATTGCCAGATATTGATTTTGTATGAATCATAATGTCAATGATGCATGAATCTAAGTATTAGATTATCTAAATGTAAGTGGACCAAAGCCAATACGGGAAGTCCCATATCGAATAAAATTAGATTTAATAATTAATATACAATCAAAAAGAAGGATCCATAAACTTGAGTTTTAAGGTTTTGAATTAAAAGTAAAGATGTGGTGTCATTTTGACAATCTCACCAAGTGGTACCAAAGCCAAGTTTTGTCCTTGAGATTTTCCACATCTTAACTCAACACTTCAAAACTCAAGTTTATAAATCCTTCCTCTTTATTTTATAGAAATTATTAAGCCCAATTTTATTCAATATGAGACTTCTCATGTTGTATGAAATCTACCCACACTTGGACAACCTAATACTAGCATAAAAAGCATAGTAAACCACATAAAGTGAAAAAAGCTTATCAAAATGCAATAAGATTTTAGATCTTCATGTGTTTTGACACTTTCCAACTCTCAAACACAGGCTTTATACTGTCAACTCAAGCCTGCCACTTATCATTGTCAATGGCCCATTGAAACCCCTACAGGAAGATAGCACATAAATTTTCAACTTCCTGTCTCTAGAGCACATAATCACAACTAATATATATATTTCATTCAACAATTCAATGTCACCTGAACACCAATCATTGGGACTGCCACACCATAACGGGTGTCTGCAAACGCAGCAAACCATGCATGCATTCCTGCAACAAGGAATTACATGAATCACGAGTTAAATCAGGCGTGGCATCATACATATTCCTGTGACAATGTCTAAAGTCTAAACCAACGTCCAAGAGATTCTCGTGACCCCTATTCTAGAAATGTCTATATCCTCCCTCTAAGTTAAATAATCTGCCATTTCATCAAGTCCCAGACCTGCCACAGCATAAAATTATGCGCCTCCTTTTAACAGAACTAATCATTTGTTAGGCCACAAATCCCATCATCTACGTCCAACTTTTTCAAATCTTGGAATAGATAGTGATTCAATCTTTGAATAACTAATTGTATGATAAAAAACACAATAAGTAGATACGTAAATTACCGTGTCATATATGAATGGCATTGTTTCCTGTTTTCCAAACAGATATAAGAGCCTGGTTTATGTAAACAGAAATACGATCAGTTCCAAGAATTATACTGCAACTAATCCATTTATGAAAGATTTTGAGTACATATTTAAGTAGAAAAAGAGTCCATTTCTTCTCTAGAAAGGAATAGTGAATAATAACGAGAAATCCTAAAGATTACTTTATTTGGTGGATTGAATCATATCATACAAATGAAAGTACCTAAATTTTTAAGTTATAAGTTTGAACTTAGCTTAATCTATTTTCCTCCATAATTATAGTGTAAATCATCGATCACATTAAAACTCAGTGAAAACAAAGGAAAATTAAATACATACATCCTGATAGGCGGTTGTGCTGTTGGCACGTTCACCGTGATAGCGAGAGTCAATGGCAATTGCTACATATCCTCGTGAAGCATATGCCTGAAATATGAAGAGAAGAAAATTAGAAACTCAAGATAGTGAAAAATGATCCACTTAATCTATCTATTACAGGACTTGAAAGGGCAGAAAACGAGAGGAGATTCCGGAAAGTAGGGACCTTAAGTAAGGGGTATAAGGATTCTTTAGAATTGCCCGTGGCATGTAGAAGAACAACGGCAGGCCTTCTTTGATGTTTCTTTCCCTTCAAGCTCAAAATCAGAGCAGGCAAACGTCCTTGCTCTCCTCCCTAATGTATACACGGTCATCGCTTAGTGTCCAAATCCCAAAAAATGCATATTAATGTAGAATCAAAGCTTTTCTGATCAACTCAAATTACCTCTGTAATCAAATAGAGTTTTCTCCTCTTTTAGTGAGTTTTCAATGTTACTAATGTTTGCCTTTGGACAAGACTCCAAGCCTGCCTGGTAGAACTTAAGAGCGTGAATTTACAAGGGGGGGGAATCAGATGCCAGCGAAAAGGCCCTATCTCGACTCTCGATGGAAAGCGGGAACCTTAGCGGAATTTAGAGTACAGTCCTGATATAGAGGCTTGGCCACTGGCTTCGCGAACTCCACACGCAGCGGAACTGAAACATGGCTACAAATTTCAATCGTCAAGTGCGAATAGAAAACACAGACTAGTCAAATACGTTGATCTCTTTAGCTAGTTCACAAACTATGGTCAATTCGATAGCTTGGAAATTGTATAAAATCGAGACGTGCATTTTTCCTTCGTTAGTCCTAGACTTGTTCAGGGTAACAAGAGATGCTTAGATTCGGATATTAATTCTACGTAGTACGTACCTTCGCAGACTCGTCTGCTTTGGAGGACTTGGTGGAAATCTGATCGAAGCTTCTGAGGCTTCTCCCAAGGGAAACATACATGCAGATAATGTTGTCAGCTTTATCAGCATTTTCATGTTTGTTAACCAGATAGCTTGGCCATTCGGATTCTTTCTTTTTCCACTCAAGCCCGACATGCTTGCCATGTTTGGATGGATATGAAACAAACAACGAGTAGTGGAGATTTTCATTTTTTTTCCCCCCGAGGCGTTGGTTGAAATGTTCCTGCAAAACTTACTATTATACCCTCATGCTTAGTATTTTTCTTCATCATCACTGCGTCTGACCATATGAGGTCCTGAGCTGAAGACGTTCTGGCTTAACTACTTTCGCAAGATCGTCTTGAGCTTGTTTATGAACAGCGAGGAATTAGTTTCTTTCTGCGAAGAGAATAGAGTGCTTATGGTGGATATCTTCGGTTTTTTTTAAAAAAAAATTTTCCAGGTTTAAACACGATGAGAGCATCGGGGAATCAATAATTCACTGCAACCACGGGGAACTTGATGATTGCTTCGAACTTAAGCAATAGGCACGTATTGTTTAATATGATTAATTTATTTTTAGTTTTGCTGTCCTCTAGCCACTCCTATTATTTATAAGTCACATTTAAAAAAATAAATTTTATTTATAAATTATAATGTAACTTTTTAAGTAATATTTAAAAAATATTTTTTATAAAAGAAAAAAAAGTAAACCTCACATTAGTTTTAGAATTTATTATATAGGATCATATTTAAAATTTTATACACATTTATTCTTTATACTTTTTTATATTAATATTGATAAAATTAATAGAAATGATTTATACAGGGAATTGGAGAAGTATATCAGTAACTAAACATGGGTCCTGACATTTTTATGTGCTCCAATATTTTTTTCGTTTGATTAAAAACAATTTTGTTTCAGACTTATAAATAAATTCCAGAAAGCGTAATAATATCTTAGTATTTATTTTTCACCATTTAGCATTTCAGTACATTTTCTTTTTTCCTTTTAGTATTCAGCTCGAAAAGCCTGTCTTTCAATCTATACAGGTACCAGATAAAAATCGCCAGAGCGCAGAGCAAATTGAATCATCCCTTCAAGGCTTGTGTCGAGATAGCCAGTCAATATAGTATATCTATCATATTCCATTCATGTCAGCCATAAGAAGTCAAGCCTTCACATTGCTTATTATTATGATAAAGAAGGTAAAGTATTCTCTATAATTTAAATCATTTTATTTTTTTATATAATTTAATAATTTATTTTTTTGCCAGAAACAAAAATTAATATTTAATATCAAAGTTCTTCCAATTTCGTTTATGTCAATTTTTCCGTTTTTAAATGAAGTTAAGATAAGAGGTAATTATATCCTCGCTAGCCTTTTACCAGCTTTAATGAGAAGGGCCCAAATAGGTTCCTCATGGAAGGGCTTAAATTGAACCAAAACGAAAGAATTTCTTTCAGTATTTATCCCAAAAAAACAAAAAACAGAGAAAAGAAGAACGAAAGAAGACCGGGAAGAAATAAAAAGGTGGGAACTGAGAAGTGAGAACCAACGAGGCTGGAGCGGATGGCAGAGCCTATCAATAGTCAACAGCATGATGCAAACGTTGACTGCAATGAACCACATTCAATAAACTCTTTTCTGCCCGAGATAACATACATTTGCATGTAGAAACGTCAGATTAAGCAAGGAACTGACTGACTGAGACTTGGATTTAGACATCGATGCTATGAAAGAAGATATTCCAGTTATAGTTATTCCCAAATCTTAGCTGGGAACCTGACCTATAGCTAACAATATATGCACGTCACCAGCACATTTTCCTGGCTGTTCAACACCCAAAAAATCATGTTCTTTACTAATCAAAAGTATTTTGCAATGCAAGAGACTATATCAACCCAGCAATTCCCGTCGGCAGACCTATCCTCAATGACAGATCATCATTATCGTGGCCGTTAGGCATTGCGCTGCTTGTCACAGATACTTCAGTGGCTAATGGGATGTGGGATTTTGCTATGCCATTGCAGTGCCTGTGAAGTTCCTTTCTCTTTCACTTCTTAAATCAGTTTCAATTCCATGATTGCCATTATCAGCTGCTTCTTGTTTGCTTTCCTCCTCTTGCTTGGCTAATGAAGAGCACATCGCTTCTGCAGAATTAACAGATAAGTTAAAGTGCAAAACAGTATCGCAGGTTTGCAATAAATCTTCAAAGAAGCTCAAGCAAAAGTATCATCTTCTGCTAGGTAATTCTACAAGAAAACTATTTGTTGATATACAGATATTTTTGGGAAAAAAAAAAAGAATTCCATTTTTTATAGGGCTGAAGAGGGAATAAATATCAATATGGATATTTTGTGAAATTTTAAAAATAGAAATAGTACAAATCCATAAAATATAATTTATTTAAGCTGAACGCTGAAATGTTAAATTTAAAAATTTAAGAAATAAAGAACATTGGTTAAGATGTGCAATTAAACGTTAGTATCTTATACTGCAAGAGATCGCTAATTGTCAAACCAAATAAAGTATCACAAATAACACAGTATCTCATTGCATTCGAGAAACTAAGATATTTGTGATCAAAGGATGCCAAACAATTTATAATGTGCGAGAGCGCGTGTGGTTTAATAAATCAAAAGTGAATACAAAATTTATTGTTACATCACCGAAAATTATAGTATGTCTTCAAAAATTTTGTTATATATGTGCGCGCGCGCACACACAAACATATTTTATGGGGAAAAAAGATTGTTAACACTTCGCTAGTTTAATTTATATGTACATATATCTATATATATATAAACACATCATATTGATGATGAACGCCAAGTTATCTCCACAGGTATGTTGAGCTGGACAATTCAGTACAAGGGGATCTCTTATTGTCCCAGAGTCAGCTGAGTTACTATGCCTGACATACCAAATAATTTAGAGAGAATTTCAGCTAAAGATCACTGTAGCAATTTAATTTCATGTAGATTCTAAACATTCTGAAATTTCAATTCAGTCCAAAAAAAAAAGTCAAAAGAATTTCGATGGTAAAAAGACAAAAATGCCCTTCACTTATTATGCAGAATCAATAGTTGTTAATTTTATTGCTCCACTTGTTAATTTACAAATATAAGTTGTAAATTACATGAGTTAACATGTAAATAATTATATAAAAATTGACATCAGTTTTTTCAATTATAAGTAGTAATATCAATTGTTAAATTGCTAATTTTACTTGTTAATTTAGTAACATTAGTTGTAAGTTACTAAAAACTTGTAATTTACTAATATCAATTGTAAATCACCGACAAGTTTTGTAATTTACAACTGATATTAGTAAATCAATAAGTAAAGTTAGCAAATTAACAACTAATGTTATTGATTATTTGACAAACGGATGTAATTTATAAATGATATTAATAAATTAATATAAGTACAATAAGAAAATTAACAATTAATGATTCTATATAACAAATGAAAAGTATTTTCGTTCTTTTACCATCGAAATTCTCTCGACTTTTCTACTTTAGACTAAACTAAAATTTTATAATGTTTTTATACCCACCTGAAATTAAATCTCTTCCTTAATTCTTAACTAAAATTCTCCCAATAATTTATCATCGCAAAGGTGTAAACAGGATACCGGTTCCCAAGGACATGTAAATAGGTGTGGATAGAATTTCTCTTTCATTTAGAAAGATATATATCGTAACACTAGAACCCTGACCTTTTATGCTTCCACGAGTGACGAGTCCACGGAGAACGTCCCAAAACCTGGTGAGCACAAGCCGTTCCTGCTCTCCGTAAATATGCATGTAAACATCAGAATTTGATGACTTCTGAATCATTTTTTGATCATTGCAAACCAAGTCATTGGCAGAACTATCGGAAAGAAACATCTCATCCTGTTCATCACACATCAATGCTAGCGTTCCTGGTGACAATGGCCTCCCGTAGTTCTGTATATCAACTCCATCTGATCCAGAATCAATAGTTCCACTTCTCTCTGCTCCATTTTTCTCTGCATGATCATCAAAACAGGCTTGTGGACTTCTTCATTATCTTGCAGTAATTCAGCTGATGAAGCAACAGAAGCTTCAAATTTCTTGATCTCCGTTTGCTGGTCTACCCTGCCTCCTGACTCTGAAAAGTTGAAACAAAATTGGGATGCAATTTACATTCTGACAGAAAAGTATTGACTTGATATACATAATAATATAACTCCTGCACGAAGGACCATTGAAAACTCATGCTGAAATTGAAATTTTTCCGGCGCTGAAAACACTTTGTTGTAACCAAACATTCAGCATATGGGAACTCACTGAACCCCTTCCTCATTCCAATAATTCAATGAATATATATTCCTTTGTTCCCGCAAGCTTAATAAAATGTAACTAGTTCCCCATAAACACAATTCTAAGCAATGCAAATTTAGTGCTTAACTTCAAACGATATACAATCAGTACTAAATTTTTAGAGCCAAATTCTTTTTTTTTTTTTAATTACACAGATTATAAAACTCAACTCCCGTGTGCAACGGATAGTTACTTTTCTATTACCATAAAAACTCCACACAAAAATACTCATAAACAAGAGAAGATAGGATGCATCTAAGTGTTAATCAAAACCTGCATATGTCTTTGCGGCTACTCCTGATAGAACAACAAAAAGTGAACAGAGATATTTCACATCCTCTGGCATGAGGGCATCCGCCAATGGTGACCTTCAGCATGAGCAATTGTAAACTTAATTTAAGAAAATAAGATAAAATGTTCAATTCATGTTTTCAAAACACATACCTGTATGTTGATCTTGAAGACCCTGGATTTGTTGCATGGCCAATGTCAGACGCAACAGACGCAAACGGAGCAGGTGTCGCAACCACTGGATCATTTTCCTGATTAAATTTTAAATATATTAACTATTTTCTGCAATTTTAATGTGAGAAAATGGAGAAAATTGAAAGGGGCTGGAAAGTAGTAGGGAAATTGAAGTGCAAATCAAAAAGAAGTCTGAAGGAACTAAAGGTAAGAGATTGATATTCATAGTCTGGCATGATTTGAAGGCTTAATAAATATATTGAATTCATATGATTTCCAAACGTAAGGAAGCTGCATGTTAAAAATTGCCAAATGATAATTTAAGTGAATCTAAATCATTCTAATATAACAAGGGAGCGGGAGAATGGAGCACCTGTTGAAATGGAGCGGTCAAAACAGTTTGATCTATGGCAGCTTTGCCAGAAAATATTTCCTTAAGTTTTTCTTCTCTTGGGTGTCATGTGGATCCCATAGCCAGAGGACCCAATTGCTTGACTGATGGCAGCATTAGCTGCCTGTTTGAGGTTAATTGGATCAAGAGCACTTCTTTCTTCACTTCCTTCAAAATTCTTGCAGTCCATGCATTTACAATTTTCAGAGCAGAGGACATTAGCTTGGAAGCACTCACAATATTTCTTAAGGCAACCTGATTTCTTGCAGTGACATCCTTTATTATGCTTCCCTAATACTTGAATTTCAGCCTCTTCCTGAATTTATTCAGGATATTTATTAAGCACCACAAGCAAGGTCAGCTGAAATAAAAAAAGCCAGATCCAGAATAGCTAATATCATCAAGTACATTAGCTCAAGCACTTAAACTTCTTGGCAAATCTGTATTCGTGATTTGACTTATGAAGTAGCACCTTCTTGAGGCTTAACAAAAACTCAAAAACATATATGCCTGTCCCCTCTGATATGAAGGCCATGATTCTGTATAAGCATACATCTTAATCAAAATAAACACTTAAGTCTGTTGACTAACCGTGAGTGATCAACATTGGTTAGCTTGTTACTTGATTCTGCATAAATTATTATTATAGAAGGCTATAAGTGATATTAAAATTCAAAAGCAAAAAAAGGCAAAGAACATGTTGCATATCAGCATAGGAACAAGGAGTCATTCTATGCTAAGGAGGTAAGTCGGTTCACAAGAATGACAACAAAGAATCATCTAATTTTGAATTTTGTTGGCTCTTTGGCACATCAACTCATGCCATATAGTCTTGTTAATACAGGCAGTGTTTATCTTTTTCAATACAGATCTAAGTCCTCACTGCACAAAAAAGGCAAAAAGGAATGCCACCGAAATAATTTTATCATTGTGATCAGAACATTTGAATTGAAGTCTCAGAATGCAATTGAACTGTCATTTACCAATATGGGAGAGGCAAAAGAGTTGAAGCATTTAACAATGCATCTATGGATTTCTAAAAGGAGTCGCTTCCTGAAATTAAATTATATATAAGTTAACTCTGCCTGACAATAGGCCCTTCAAAAACAGAAATTATGATACAGATACCGCAAGCCCCATTTTATTCAGTTAAAATCAATATAAAGAGCTTGGTCAAGCAATATTATAAAACTTGAGGGAGTTGAATTACCGACCTTGAAACCCCGTGGTTCTTGTGGACTGCTAGCAATTTTTGGTCTGAAAGCATTTGGATTGCGCTCTAAAATTATTCCAATTGCCTCCCGTCTAGCAGACTCATTATCCACATTATTATAACAATTTAAACAGTTGCAGCCATCACAATGGATCCCAGCTGCAAAACACTCACAGTACCTAAAATTTGCAAAATTAGCTTTTGCTTGAGGGTAAAGGAGTAAGAAACATACACACAAGATATCCATATATAGCTAAGTATTATGTGATAAAATGCTATTTATAAGATATAAGTCCAGAGAAGCTGAAGTGCTTACAATTGAGGCATCGAGAATTCTTGCAATTGCACTGTTTTTTGGTTCTTTGGAGTTCTGTTTTTTGATTCCACATTATGCCAAGGTCGTGAACTAGGAGACTCTTGCTTCCTGAAGGAAAAACGCGCGCGCCCGTGAGCCCACATATATAAGAAATGCCAATTTGTGCAATATGGCCTCACCCTAAAAGGTGAAACTTAATTGAAGAGAAAAAAATAAAATTCTAATTGTACCCATTGAAACGAAAACAACTAAAAACTTGAACCTTTTATTGACAATAATCTGAGTGCTACTCCTTAAAAAAAAAAATGCTGTACATAAATTTTAGTTTTTTGAGTTTTAATAGTGTAATTTCTGAAAGTCCACATTATATTGTTTCCAGGTTTCAGCCATACATCAAATAGATTAAAATAACCCTCAAGATGATCCTATTAAGTTCCAAAACTACATGAGGACAAGAAAAAATAAAAATAAAATAAAACATAAACATGTATTGTTTGCATAATTTATAACTACAAGAAGTTGGATTTAGGAATGACCCTAAACATTAGTTTTCTAGTTCTATTATTATTTTGGTAAAGAATAATATTTAGTCTTGATACTAAACTACCCCCTTTTCTGTGATAACTTGCTACCAATTTTCATGTCGCTCTGTCTCCAGATCATATCTCTTGAATTTCCACGAAGAATTACATATATATCAGTTTATGTTATGAAATTGCTTTTGCCAATAATCATTTTTTCTTTCTCTTCGATAAAGATTACCCATGCCTGTGAGGAAATGTCTTTAGTTTTTTACTATCTTCACCATCGGTGCCACTCGAATATACCGAATTGAGCATTCTTGAGGTACCCGGGTGCATTTTACTCTCCCCGCATGAGTGAGTGTAGCAAATACAGGAGAAATCATAATGGTACAGATCAAGAGACTTACAACTGTAACGTCGTCATCGAAATTTTCTGCGCAGGTGCGGAATTCGACGGACAGGTGAAACTAGCTGCGGCCGCTCTTGCGATTGCTGCTTGACCTGAGATTGCAATGCTTGTTGTGGCGGTGTGAAGAAGACCATGGCTGCTGCCCCTGCGACCGAAAAGGCAGCTTTAGTTGTGTCGGCAAGTATGCCAGCGACTCCAACGATTGTGATTGTGGCCGCAAAATCGATTGTGGCAGTGGTTTCTGCGTCTGCTGTAGTAGTTCTAAGTGTGTCTGAGATTCAGATGCCCTCGGCAATTCTACGTTCACTGAATCTCCACCGATGGCCGTGAAATCCAATTGCCGAGCCAATTTCCGCGGTGCTAAATCAGAATTGTTTCCACTCTGCTCCATCAACGATGGCAGGAAACTCTTAACACCAATTAGCCACTTGGCTTTCAAATCCCACGTTAATGTCTCGGAGTGAATTTCCGAGACATGTGGTCAAAGCCTTCACTGGATACAAAATAAAACGGCCCATACGGATACTAAAGACAACAAAACGTCGTCCACTCTAAGCACAGATTTCCACTATTAATAACTGCACGTTACAGAAAACCATTGGGAACTGAATGTAATCAACAAAAATCGTGAATGACGCCGATTGAGGAATAAAGATTCCGATTTTGAAGAAAAGAAGCATGCAGACACCCAATTCACTTGCAATGCGAGACAATGTGACCGGAGAGTGATGCCGGTGAGCTGATAGGGAATCTGTCCAGAGAGACTGCAAGGAAGACACTACCATGCCAGTGCCACCTCTCCCTCTCGAGATTTTGAAAATTGGATGGAATAAAATGAACGGCGAGATGAGAGCAGTGGACGATCGAACGGGCAAAATTGAAAGTTGTAATTAACAGCTGAGATTTGCGTAGGCTCCGAAAGGGTTCGTTGAGCGTGGGATTTCAAAAAGGAGCAGCGACCCCTTTCCGGAAAATGACGCGTGCAGAATTTGGCGCTAATTGAATCCAAAGCAGAAAGGGACTCGGTTTATCGTTGACGTGTTTGAACCAAACAAGGGCAGTGTTTGGCATGTGACCTTGTGTTACTATCCGAGTTCTTTTCTTTTCTTTTCTTCACCCCGCCCCATCCCTCTTTTTCTTTTTTTCTTTTTTTTTTTTTATGTTAACCTTGTTTCACAAATCATCGGATAAAGTATCTCTACAGGCAGGAGGAGTCCTCTATTCGTAATTTCGTATTCTCATCTTACAGTCTAGAGACAGATCTAGGAGGGGAAATCCGCTTTTTCTTTGCATTTAGTTTAGATTTTTATACATAAAAATGGTAAAGATGAATTCTTAAAATAACTTGGTAACATGAATTCTAATCCACTCATATTTTATGTCATTAGAATCCCCCACCCCAATATATGTAAATGTAATACAGTACTTTTGATCCATCTCTGTCTTGCACGGTATTGAATAGTGCTCCTTTTTTTCCTTTTTGATGAGTACTTTCTTTATTTTTATTATAAAACGTTTTTAACTATCTTGCCTGAATTAATAAAAAGTAATTAAGTTATTAATTCTGTCAGTGAATAAAACAATTTTTTAATTTCATTTTTGATTAAGTAATTTTTTAATTTGCATTACATTATCTCTCACAACTAATAAATTTAAATAGTAGGAATATTAAAAAAATATACTCCTTCCATTTAAAAATATAATATATTTTTTAAGGAGTTAAATGTTAAAAAATGTAAGATATTTTTAATTTTTTGAAGTATAATTAGTACCTTTTTTTTTATATCCCTATTGATAGTAACTTTATAATTATTATAGGGTGTTTAATAGAAGTAAATATGAAAAAATTGGATTAGTTTGAAAGTAAGTAATTACTTTATTAGGAGATGAGATTCGATTAAAAATATCTTATATTTTTTGAACGGAGGGAGTAATAAATATCTGATCAAGTTCTTTATATTAGAATAAAATAATTCTTTTAAATGATATGAATTGGCAAACCCCCCCCCCCGTCCTGAGAAACAAACAAACATATAATGCTCTTGGCTTTCTTTGGGCTAATTAATTATAGTGCAGCAACATTTTTCTATTTTCTATATATTATGCAGAGTCTATTTTCTATTTTCTATATATTTTGCATTGTCAAAACAGAATCTTTAATTTATCATGCATGTATATGCCCTTACTATCAGTTTCATAAATTGATGCTTGAATTGTGACTCGTTTCTTGATGTACTGGCATGTATATATGTTTTAGTTCTAATCTAACCATTTTGCTACTATATAAAATAATTTATACCTCGTTGACTCATCAGAAATGAGCATTTACATTGTGTATAGTTAAATTTAACCATTTCTATGCTCAGTCAAAAATTTAAACTATAAGGTTCATCTTAATCATAAAAACATAACGAATGCATGAGACCATATAAACCATCTCGTCTCAGTTCAGACCATCTTTTGCTGGGAGAAAAAAAAAATATATACTCATTATCTTTCGAACAGCGAGACTACATCTCTGGCCAGATCTTCTCAAAATCACGATTACAGTTTACACCAATAATATTGGAGATTTTAAACCCAACTAGAATTAACGTAAAAAGTTTATACTTTCCATATATCTTATCCTCGAATAAATTTTAACTTTATTTTCAACGGTATAGCCCAGCAAATTAGACTACGTTTGGTGTTATTGGTAACATCCATTTTACAGCCTACCGTGCAGTAGGGTTAAAGCAACAAAAAGATGCTTAAGCATGCTGCAATTGATACTAATTAGTGAAACAACGCAACTCGCCTCCACTTTGAACTATGAAACACACACTTAGCATGGACCAATAAAAACATTAACGGCGAGAATAAAAATAATGACATCACACGATGAAACAAGGCTGTCACCTCTCATTGTTCTTTCACTTCGTAGTACTTCATCACCTTCTTACCTCGTCTGAAGAAGCCCTTAAAATATGCATACCGTGTGATATTGATTTTTGCGTGTTCTTGACTGTGATCAGAAGATTACATGGCTGGAGGTGTGGACAATGGTTTCATTTTCACCAGATAAATTAAACTG